GGGTTAGGGTTAGGGTTAGGGTTAGGGTTAGGGTTAGGTTAAGGGTTAGGTTTAGGGTTAGGTTAAAGGTTAGGTTAAAGGTTAGGATTAGGTTTAGGGTTAGGTTAAGGGTTAGGGTTAGGGTTTACAGCGTGCTTCTGTCTCTGCGCTGTTGTTGCCCTGTTGATGATGTCAGCAACGCGGTTTAGTCGAGCGCGGTTTAGTCGAGCGCGGTTTTGTGGTGGAACCGCCTGGCAGATGTGTCTTCTATAGACTCTATGACAGGGGTGTCAAACTTTCATTGAAGACTGCATCAGTGTTGTGTTTGACCTCGGGGGACTGGGGTGGTGGAGCCAAGGTGGGCATGGCCTGCTCAAGGTCACTCCTGTTGGGGGCGCTTGTGGTGGCCTGAGCGCTCTGCCAGTGAAAAAGGGCTCCCAAGCTCCATTTTCGGCTGCCCCGGCCTCCTGCAATCCTTTGCCAGTGAAAACAGAGGTCAGGAGGGCCTCGTGCGCCACTCCGGAGCTCCATTTTCACTGACAGAGGGTTGCAGGAGGCCTTGGCAGCCGAAAATGGAGCTCAGGAGCCTGTTTTCACTGGCAGAAGCACCGTGGGCCAGTCCTTCGCTGTTTCCAATTCGGTCCCGCGGGCCAGATCTCAATACCCCGCGGGCTGGATCTGGGCCCCAGGCCTTGAGTTTGACATTCCTGCTCTATGAGCTTTGAAATTTCACAAGGTCTAGGACAGCAGTTCCCAATCTTTTGGGTACCACGGATGGTTCCGTGGAGGGAGGTTTTTCCCCTGACTGCTGCGGGCGTGGTTTTGCATGCTGCCTGCATGCCGCAAAGGGGCTTCACTTGTTTGTGAGGACCGGTTTCAGGCACCAGGCCACGGACCGGGGAGGTTGGGGACCCCTGGTCTAGGAGACAGAGGAGCGTTGCTGAAATGTCTATTGCAACACTTAAAGGGGTTTCTGATTCATAAACTAAGCAGAGGTTTCTGAATAATGTGAATAGGCCACTATGCAGAGTATTTGTCAGGATTCCAACTAACGCCTCCCCGAACAAAAGAACTTTGAGGCATGAGGTCTCCTCAAAGAACATTTTATTAGAGCATGTCATATTGGCAAGATGCTGGTGAAAACCGGATCTAAAAGTTCCCGCCGGTTTCCCCCCTAATTAAAAGTAAAAGTTTTTCAATTCCCCAGAGGCATCAGTCACATGGTCTAATCAGCACACAGTCCAGACGTGGGATGACCTTAGTCTCTACCTCCCAACCACCTGCGCACATGACCTTGGTTCCCAGGGGAAAGAATGTTCTTTTGGTTATAGCACCCCACAGCTATCTCTGCACTCCCCTCCGTATCCCTCAACTCCAGTCTGTGTCAGCACTGAAACCCCAGTAGAATAGTAAGATGGCCATCATCTAGCCAGCTTCAGAGTTGACAGTGCTGCTGTAAATTAATTTGGGGTCTTGGAGAACTACATCCAAACTTCTCTTTTTGCCATTGTGAAGCTGTAATGTGCTTTTTCTTCTCCCCAGATGAGTGTGGAATCGTGGCTCAGATCTCTGAGCCTTTAGCTGCCGCAGACATCCCTGCCTATTACATCAGTACTTTTAAGTTTGATCATGCACTGGTGAGTTGATTGAGATTAATAATGTCTATGCTTCTCTCTCTCTCTCTCTCTCTCTCTCTCTCTCTCTCTCTCTCTCTCTCTCTCTCTCTC